ACGTAGGAAAATCAAATTCGTCTGGGCCCCCGGGCACAGCGGAATTCCTGGTAACGAAAGGGCTGATGCCCTTGCCAGGAAGGTTGCCAACCTCCATGTTACCCCCTCCTTTGGGAAGGTCCCCATCACTTACATTAACAAACTATTATACAATCAGATCATCGAGGAGTGGCAGAAGGATTGGACAGATTCAACAACTGGAAGGCTTACTTTCAATTTTCTGCCATCTGTTAGGAGTCGTCAACTCCTAAAGCACATCACCCCTTCCTATTATCTTACGCAGTGCCTCACCGGGCATGGGAATTTCCCAGCCTACCTCGCTCGGTTTGGCAAAAGAGAAGATGACAAATGTGACTGCAATGACTCTGTTATTGGGGACGCCCTGCACACTCTCCTAGACTGTCCTCACCACGATATGGAGCGCCAAGGACTCATGGGCTTCTGCCTAACTAATGGGCAAAATTGGCCCCCCAACTTAGACTTTTTATGCAGCAATGTTGGCGCCTTTAACCATCTCAAAAACTTTGTGAACAGCTGTAGCACTTACCGGGTCACCCACCCGTCCCCCCCTAGCAGGGGCCCTCTACTGTGTTCTCAATCTCTTCGGTCTGTTGTTCATCCCTAATCCACCACATGTGGCTCAAGCCGTCCTGTGACTGTGTTATTGGAATTGTGTCTAACAGCTGTAGGGTATTCTATGTCTAGTTAATGGTTAAAGTTGTTTGTTTGTTTGGCTTGTCCAATACCATTTTACCGGACCCCCCATCGGGATTCTCTTTGCACATCTCTACTCGTCTGATTTGTATATCTACATCTGTTCCATCAGTGTATCAACATGTACCATATCTATCAGTATGTATATTATCATCATCGGCCGCCAAAACGGCGCTCTGCTCTGTATATCTATTTGTATTCTAAACAAATATGGTATAAGTTGTCTATATGATCGCAAATTTACCTTCCTTTCTAAACTTTATACTCTCTAACAATCCCCGCTTCTCCCCCCACCTCCCCTTCTCCATATCTTCCTTCACACTCCCCTATCTCCCGTTATTTCACATTCGGTCTCTTTTTCCTTACCTTCTCCTTCCATCTCTATAGAGCAAAGTCTGCCGCTAAATGACAGACAGCTCTTCTATTCTTTAAATAAAGTAAAGTAAAGTACGTACTGTACCTTGGAAATACTTACATATAGTGTATGTAATTGGTTGACATCAATATGCTTAGTTATTATTTTTTTGCAAGTGCTATAGCATTAATGACGTTAATTTTATAATAAACCCTATGCTATCTATTGTGTTGTTTAATTCACTAAGTCCCATATCGTATATTATGCAGTATATATAGATTTGATCTTACCATTTTTATAAGTATGCAATTTGTCAAATTACAAGGTACTCCTTTTCAAAAAAGTTCCGGACTACAAGGGGTTGGTGACAGTTTAGTCTGACAAATTTAATCATCCAACACCACCTTGCAAAACATTTGTCAGATTACCACAGGTCTACTGTACTGTATGTAATTAATTAATTACATATAGAATTCCAGTAATTAAAAAACATTCATTTACTTTAATTTATTTCACTGTATTTACTCGCATATAAGACGAGGTAAAATACACAAAAGTATTTTACCTGGGTTGTTTGAATCATTCTTGTGTATTATCAGGAGTAAAGCAATAGGAAAAGCAAAGCTTTTGAATTGAAGAAAATTACACAGGAGCCCAATATAAATTTTAATTTATTTCCACGTGAAAACAGATGATTATTTGGAAATCAGAATTCAGAGAAACTCATAAGTGTAATCAACGAAGAGTGAATTTGACTGTTAAGAATTGGCAGAAAAGGTTCCCAATAATTGTCCAGCTTTACATGAACAAATTATGTTGTCGATTTTACAAGATTTCTTCTTGAAGTTTAAAATGCCAGTAATTTTTGCCGGACAATGTGTGCATGTGATATTTTATTTGTGAATAAACGAAATAAAATTAGAATTGTATTAATGAAGTTAAGTTTCTTTATTTTGATCTTTAAAGTCACACCTCGTCCTATATGCGAGATCACCTTATATCCAAGTACTTATAGTACTTGTTTTTCTATTTATTTATTGTCAATTAACTTTTCTTTCCTTGTCATCAAACAAAAGAAATGTCTGATAACTTGTGTATTTGCTTTTCTCATTTTATGTTAATTGCTTTTATATTACTGAATAACCTAATCAACATATTTATTTATATATTTAATTTTATTATATCTCATTTAGAATCATTGATAGGCAAATGTATGTTTTATAAAAGTTTAATGTCAACATGATGTTGACATTATACTTTTATAAAACACACAGCAGAGTGACTAGGTTATGAGGTTGTTCAAAAATAACCAAACTTTTTGAATTGGACAAAAATGGAGTCAACTTCACATAGTGTTGTGAAGTTGACAATGCTATGTTTGTGATAACCTACTGAGTAAGCTGCGTTTTTTGGATTGTTGATATCTCATTTTGTTCCCATGTTATTGTTTTTTGAGTGAAAGGTATTTCAGTGTTCCTGGTAATTTTTGCAATATGCGATTTACGGGAGCAACAATGCAATGTAAAGTTTTGCATGAAACTGGGGAAAACTTTTACGGAAACATTTCAACTTTTGAATTAAGCTTATGGAAGCAATGCTCTAGGTTGTACACAGTGTTATGAATGGTTTACCCGATTCAAAAGTGGCTGTCAATTATTTGAAGATGACCCTCAACTAGGAAAGCCTTTGACTTCAACTGATGACACTCATGTTCAGAAAATCAGAGTTGTGCACTATGAATTTTTGCCTCAAGGTCAAACAGTCAACCATCAGTACTACACAGGTATTTTGAAACAATTGTGTGAAAAAATTTGCAAAAAGAGACTAGAGTTGTGGCAAGACAACTCATGGTTCCTTTACCATGACAACATGCCTGCTCACTCAGCCTTATCAATTTGCCAGTTTTGTGCCAAAAATCAAATGACTGTCCTCCCCAGCATCCCTACTCACCAGATTTGGCTCCTTACGGTTTTTTCTTATTTCCAAAATTAAAAGCAGTGCTGAAAGAACACTGTTTTGACACAATTGGTGACATTAAAACAAATTTGTCAAAAGCATTGAAGGACAGTCTAAAACAAGCTTACCAGGACTGCTTTGCAAAGTGGAAACACTGCTGGGATAAGTATGTGTGAATAGAGAAGGGGAGCACATTGAAGACAGCAAATAAAAAATAAAAAATTATAAAGTTCAGTTATTTTTTGGACAAATCTTGTATTCCAGACTGAGGTAAAATTTTGACCATTAAACTATAATGGAAAAATATGTTCCTACTATTTGAGAGGTTTTCAAATAGGCTTATGAGTCTGTATTATACTGTTTCTGGTTTTATTTAATAGATTTGAAATTTAAGGTCCATTTTGAAGGTCTGTTAAAAATTTATTCAAGAGAATAGAAAAACAAAAAGTTGAAATATTTCTTTGAGAAATTACATAAAAATTAAATTTCTGAATAAGTTGCTTAAATTATCAGTTTATACATTTTCTTTCAAATTTTATAAATACGATTTAAGAGATATTAACACTCATTGACAGAAAATTATGCAATCAGATAAAATTCTTTGATTACTGCAAGTTTTGGCTTATAGCTATGCTAAGACAGGTATGTAAATGATTATAGAAAATCTTTTATTGGAAAATATAATTTATATTCAATGTGAATTCATATATGTACAATACAGTTGACTCCCCCATAACGCGGTAGATACGTTCCACTTTATAAGAATTTTGCGTTGTAGGAATCCTTAAATATATGAGCCAATCACAGCCCGGCACATGTACAGTTTATGGACTACAGCTGTTTGAAAGATTTTCTTCCATAAAATTAATTGATTCTAGACTAATTTGACTCAACGTTTCCAAAACACGTATAATTTTTTGGGAATAATCTGTATAAACTATGCTATAAACAAAAAATTGTAGGATTACTTACCGAGTGTGCACCATTTGACGACACCATTGCTTAAGCTTGTTTTCATCGCGGAGCAGTGCACCAAATGGCGGGGCATTTTCTGATAATTTATTTTTCTGTGAAAAATTCGTTTAACTTTGGAGACATCATTAATAGAAATAATTTTTATGACCATTGAATAAGAAATGTATAAAATTACAGTACTGTATTAGACTTACAGTACCAAATTTATATACTGTACAGACAATAGTAAACTCAACTTATCTGCCTAAACTCTCCATAGCGTGTAAGTAGTTTGGCTGCTCATCCACTATTGGTCCATATTTGACCAATCCTGTTGTGACATGAGTTGGCGATGACGCTTTACCGCATTTTACGAGTCTCTGTTAGTGTCTTTATATGAATATGGTCGCAATTTTTTCGCCGCGATATATGAATCCGCATTATATGAACCCGCGTTATAGGGGGGGTCTACTGTACATATATGTAAATAAATTCACACAAAGTGATCTTTTTGGCTAAAGTTAAATCTTTCCTTGGCATATTGAGAGGCTTCTCTAAAAATACATACATGTATATCAATTCAATCTTTAAACTGATATGCAGGCTGTATAGCAATATAGTATAACAGTGGATAGTTTTATCCACTGTTACCCAATATTGCTACTCAGTCCAATCAAATGCATATACTTCATGCTATATCTTAGTGATGACTGAGAGTCTCTGCATATAGACAATGCCTAGAAACAATCCATGCTTGTACTGTCCATCCCTCCTCATGTTTGTCTATGATAATATCTGAGCATGATGTGTTTGAATAAATTGATGGGATGTCCCAAACAAGCAAAGTAAATTTGCCTTATATTTAACTTTTTTGTTTCTGTCTTTCAAAATATGACTCAAATAAACAGTGATCGTGATTAACCAGTGTCCCAATTAACCAAAATGCACTGTATTTTTAACATTATATAAAATTTTATATATAATCATATATATTTGTAATTTGTTGTTTATTTTTTTCTAGAATTCAAATAGTTATGGATGCAGAGAGTGATGATGAAATGCAAAGTAATCATTCAGATCAGGAGGTAATTTTTATTTTATAATAAAATTTATATATTTAATACAAACTATTGATGTTTGTATTATACAGTATCTGAATTTAAAAAAAAACTGAATTTTTCAAAAATATAAATGTAAGCAACCCTTGACTTTTGGATGTTAAAATTTGTCATTTGTGAAATGTAATTTTTCTCTGTTTAATGTATAGTTTTAACATATTAAATATTTTATGCATTTGTTATGTTTACTGTGAAAAAGGAAAATGTTCCTATTTTAATAAGAAATTTTATTTTTTTTTACTGCTTTTGGAACTGAAATACAAAACAATGGTTAAAATAAAATAACTTAAAATAAAAATACAGTAGAGCGTCGTTTATTCGAAAGCTGGTTATCCGAAACGTCCGTTATCTGAAAGCATTCCAGTCGGCAAATTTTAATTTTCGCTAGTGCTGTGGCGCTGCAATCTTCGGCTATTTCTCGGGCTACTCAAATATTTTACGTTTTTGATACTAAATTAACATCTGAAGTATAATTTTTTATTGTTTTTATATTTTTCAATAAATTTATTTTGTTTGTACAAAATAAAAAAATAATTTTTAACGATACAATAGTCTTCGTTAGGCTTAACATCGACGAAAATTCAACGCGAAGCGACACGCAACNCTAAATTAACATCTGAAGTATAATTTTTTATTGTTTTTATATTTTTCAATAAATTTATTTTGTTTGTACAAAATAAAAAAATAATTTTTAACGATACAATAGTCTTCGTTAGGCTTAACATCGACGAAAATTCAACGCTAAGCGACACACAACGGAGAGAAATTTCAACATGGGATAAATTAATATATTTTTTCGTACATGATTCGTTATCCGAAAAATAAGTTATCCGAACCACTCCAGTCCCCAATTGATTCAGATAAACGACGCTCTACTGTATATACAAAATGAATACAAATAAAAAGTATGTTGCATAAATGAGTTAAACTTAACAAAAGGAGGTTAAACTTAATAAAAGTGTAATAATAACAGAGAGAGAATATATTAAACTAGACAACTTCAAATAAAGCCCTCAATGTCACCATGTGTCTATTGTTTATTGTGAGTTCCTTTACAAATTGTTTTATCGATTTTGAGTATTTCCAGATATTTCAGATGAAAAGGTGTCATAGTGAGTGATGTATAAGATGTGCTCTCCCAAAAAAGATGTCAATGTCCTGGTCAGAGGCAAAAGCTGATAAGATAGTTGTAGTTAGGCATTTTCTGATTGAGTTTTGATGTTCTTTGATCCTAGTATACACAGATCTACATGTGCCACTAATATATTCAAAGGGGCAATCTATCCTATTGTCATATGAAGGTATTGAGTAAATACCTGGATGAGTAGTTTCATCCATGGGATCTTTGCCATTCCTGAGTAAGGAGAATACATTCTGGCTTCTTTTATATACAGTTCAAAAGTTGGAGTATTGAGCTATATTAGTTATTTCCACAGTGGGTGCTACTGCTTACTGTTGACTGTGAGTAAATCTAGGGGGACAAAAAGAAGCAAGTGGGAGGCAGAGGGATGCTGGAGGTAGTCTACTGACTGAATTGTTACCATAGATGAGGATTGGGTCACTGACAGATCTTTCCCTTTCCTCTGATAAAATGGGTAAGAAGAAACATTGCATTTAACCTATCCCATGTTGAAATTTTTCTCCATTGCATGTGGCTGCTATGTTGAATTTTTGTCAATGTTAAGCCTAATGAAAATTTTTTTATAATAATAATAATTGTGGCTACTGTATCGTTAAAAATTATTTTTTTTATTTTGCACAAACAAAATAAATACATTGAAAAATATAAAAACAAAAAAATAATAATATTTTGAAAGTTCATTTCAATATAAAAATTATGATGCATAGTGACATCTAGTATAAAAAATGTACCAATACTGTAACGAGATATATTGGGTTTAACCCAGCGGGTTAAAGGTCACGACCCCGATATATGTCGGGAATAACACAAGTGAGATTAATGATTTTCAGATGTGCAGAACAGTGCATAGTAAGGATATAAAGTGTGAGGTTCATAGAAAAGTTTTCTAAGAATATTTCCAAGATTTTCTCACACAAGGAAAATGCATTAGGGGACATTGGAGTACAGTTGGGGAATGTTAGGTATAAGTTTATGGAACCAAGGAGGCAGTAGCTCAAAGTTTGGAATCACTGAAATATATTTTTGTAAATCCTATTCAACACTTTTATATAGTGGTACCATGTGTAGATTTTTGCATTCTGGGATCAAAGAACATCAAAACTCATCTTTTCTGCTGAGTTTTACCTGACTACAACTACCTTAGTGGTCTTTTCCTCTGACCAGGACATTGATGTCTTTTTTGACAGGGCACATCTTATACATTGTGAATTGACTCCTTCTCATCTGAAATATCTGGGAATCTATAAAGCAATTTGTAAAGGAATTGCAATTAACAGTAGAGAGCTTAGGTCACAATTCTGAATGTTGAAATCCTGAAAGATCTAAACCCCAAAAGGTTAAATCACAAAAATCAAAATCCTGAAATGCCTAAAGCTTCAATTCCTAATGAAAAATTTGTGGTCTATATATGAGTGTATGTACAGAATGGATTTCTACATACCCGAAACAATGTAAAAGCATGGCACAGAAGATGGGAAAATTTAGTAGGGAATGTTCATGTTGGTATACCAAATCTTTGAAGAATTTCAAAAAGTGCAATACAACATAGAAAATGAATATGAGTGTATTCTCTGAGGTGAACCATGCCCTAAAAGGAAAAAAGTAGTTACTCATTGCAAAGCAAGACTTCAAAATATAGTTAATGATCATGAAAGTCAACCAGCTCTTATGGACTACCTCCATGCAATTGCCCATAATCTTTCTATGTCATATGTGTTGGTGTTTTTATTTTCTTCACTACTATTTAAAAGTTTCTGCATTAATTTTTATAATTTATAATTCTACATATTTGATTTTAGCTACTATGTATTAATGTAATAATAAATAAATGTGTGTATTATGTACAGTGCATACATATTGACTATTACTGTTATTAAATATTTTATTGTGTAAAATGGGCTATGAAGTGTTTTGTAATGTATTTCTATGTTTCTCAAATAAATTTTGTTTAAAAATGTAAGTAAAAATCTTTTAAAGATTTATTATTATTATTTTTTCCAGGATTACATTTTTGAGATTTAATTTTTTGGGATTTTTGGCATTTGGAATTGTGTCATTTAGGATAATGATTGGCACCAACAGTAGAGATATAGGGTACATTTGTAAAGTCAAATGAGTTAAACGTGTTACTAAAGAGTCGGTCATAAAAACAAATTCCATTCAATGTGCATACTCAATGTTGGTGACGACTCGTATCTTTAAATTGTGGATTAAAAGGTGAAATGATACAAATAAGCCTGCCGGAAGCAATCTAAGAAAAATATTTCAGATAAGACTGCACTAGCAACATTCATATCTTCGATTTTAGAAAAACAGCTATTTTGTTGTAAATGAATCAGATGTAACATCTAACAAAAGTAGGAATAATGTTGACGCCATTCTTGTTTAACTCATTCGACTTTACAAATGTACTCATAGTGCAATTGTTATGCATGGAGGGCTTTGTTTGAAGTTGTCTAGTTTAATTTATCATCTCTTCATTGTTATTACTTTTTTTTTTTTATTAATTTTAACCTCCTTTTGTTATATGTTTACTCATTTATGTAATGAATAAACATATAACAAAANCTCGACTTACGTCGTTTCGGGTTACGTCGTTCCCGATTATACGTCGTTTGTCAGAAAAAAGTATATGGAAAAATAAAAATTAAGTTTGTCATTTTACTCAACTTTACGTCTGTCCGCCACAAATATTGAAGTCGTAATATCACTAGAAAAGCGTTTAAAGCACATAAAGTCGTATTAAAATATATACATTTACAAATTTATCATCTCTTCATTGTTATTACTTTTTTTTTTTTATTAATTTTAACCTCCTTTTGTTATATGTTTACTCATTTATGTAATGAATAAACATATAACAAAAGGACTACAGAAAAACTGGATGATGTGCTACTATAATTAACTCAAAATACATGTTAATCCAATAACAAAAAATAAAAAAAAAAACAAATTTAATAACAATCTGCAAACCTATCTCAGGCAGGAAGTTCATCTATTGCCTGCCATAAAAGTTGACTTCTAGTTTTGGAGAGATTATTTTTTAGGCTTAGAAATATGACTTATACATCAGCAATATGTGATAGTTAAAAAAAAAAATGTGATCATCCCAAATATGATTTTATCTTAAGTTTTATTTGTGACTTCAGGTTTGTTTTCATAGATGTACCCAAAATCAAAAAATATTGAGAATAATTCAATAAAATGCAAGATTTGAATTTAGTCATCAAAATTTATTTTGTATCCTTTAAAGTAATTTCTTTTCACTGCAATGTGCTTATGTCAGTGTATTTTTCAATCCTCAAAACATCCTTCAAAGTCATTTTCATGAAACCCCTTCAGGACTCAACAAATTTTGTTTTATGGTGAGTCCTGAAGGGGTTTGATGAAAATGACTTTTGACTAGCAACATTTTTTCACCCCAAACTTTTTCAGTCTTTCTAAGGCTATCCTCGAGGAAGTTATGCACTGATGATGGCCTTAGAAAGGCTGGAAACATTTTGGGTTTAAAGATATTAATTGAAGTATAAGATTAGCCTTCAGCATTTTCCTTCAGTTTTGAGTTAATTAGTAATTAATATTTTAGATCTGCAGTTCTGTGCATTTAAAAATTTAATACTTTATATGATTGATGTATCAGTTTGTAGACAATAAAAAAAATTTCAATTTTATCAAATATCTATGGTCCAAATGATATGCATTATGAGTCATAAACTGAAAAAGATAGTTTCTGAGAGTGAAAGTTTGATCTAATTGTCTACAAAATATTTCTAAAATATTCTAAATTGGTACAAGAAGAATATTTAGAAACTTAGTGTGTGAAAATATTTAGAAAAGAATAATTTTTAATATACTTCATATTTGTTATATTTATGTTAATATTTTAATAATCTAATAATTGCAAATAAGTAATTGCTATTAATTTTATTTACCAAATTTATTGTAAAATTTCCATTTTGATTTTTAGGATGATGTAAAATCTGTTAACATACAAAGTGATGATAATGAAGATCAACCATACATTGAAAATAATACCATTGAATCACCTAATTCTCCTGGAGAAGGTAGTGAAGTAAATTCAGGTAGTGAACATGAAAGTGATGCAGAGAGTCCGAAAAGAAGAAATGATGACACATCAGATAATGAAACTGGACAAAGACAAAAATATGAAATTGAAAGTTGTGATGAAGATAGTGTAGCTGAACAACGTAAGATTTTTTTAATGAAATGTATTGATAACAAAGAATATATTTGATTTATAATTAACATCTAATGAATTCACTAAATATTAGTTCTAACTGAATATTGTCTAATTGTGTTGTCTTCTATATTGGTATATATGAGATCAGATCAAAAATTAACTAGATTGATGCCAGGGATGGTAATAGGCATAGACAGAATAAACATTGCATTAGGGTGCTATTTTAACAATTAAAAAATGTAAAAGTAAATAAATCGTAATGTTCATCAGAGCTATATTTAATGAAAAACTAAAGAAAGAGATGTCTCTCAATTATAGAGTTACCTGGAATTCACAAATATCAAATGAACAGTTTTCAGTACATTGTAGATTTTGCATTGTTGCTTATGACTTTGTATACCCAATTCTCCATAGAAAGTACTAATGTTTGTAGCATTTCTGGATCTAAATTATGCCATGCACATTCTATTGCAGTCTTCAGGTCAATTACTGGTGAGTTTTGCTGTCTATTGGCATAAATCTCATGAGTGAAGCTGTCCCACAAGCCCTCAATTGTGTTTCAATCCAAGCTGATTGCCAACCATTCCAAAAGGGAACATTTTCTCTGTTTAGGTATTTATTCATTTGTAGCATTAGAGATCAGAAAAATCATCAACATATCCAACATTACTAAAAATGTGACGTGGGCCAGGTTATATACTCTTCTAACTATGATGATGATGTCCTGTTTATACAGATATACCTCGACTTATGTCATTTCGAGTTATGTTATTCCTGATTATACATCGTTTGTCAAAAAAAGTATATGGAAAAATAAAAATCAAGTTTAAGTCATTTTACTCAACTTTACGTCTGTCTGCCACAAATATTGAAGTCGTAATATCACTAGAAAAACATTTAAAGCACATAAAATCATATTAAAATATATACATTTACAAGTATGTACTGTATTTACAGTACATGCATTCGTAAATTTAGATTACTTTTTTCTGTACTATATTAAAAACTAAAATTTATTTGTTCGTAAGCTTAAAATAGATCCTTATTAACCGTATATTACTAAAAATGCATTAATAAATAAAATACAGAACCGGGAATGGTAATTTATGGTTTAGCCTAGTGACAAGTAGATTCGGAGATAAGTAAATTTGACTTACATCGCCTCTCCTGGAACCAATTACCGACATAAAGCGAGGTATACCTGTATATGTTATTGTCATAGTTATTCATTTACTTTTAATGTCATTTTTGTAACATGACATACAGTGTGGTGCACAAAATGTCTTATATTGAAAAGATCTTATGAGTTTTATTTTTGGGTTTTAAACTTTTAAATTTTGTGACAAATGCTGTCATCTACTGAACCATAGATCAGTAGATAACAGCATTTGTCAGCTTCAGTAGATGACAGCATTTGTCAGCTTGATATACTTAAGTTACACCAGAGATTTCTGTTTGGAAACATGGTGGACAAGAGATGGTTGATGCTGGAAGAAAACAGTGTAATCAGTACTTTCAAATGTTTTCATGTATATTTTAGTACAAGGTTTACTTCCTGTAGACTGACAGTGTATAGGCTGGCCATTATGACTTTTTCGGGGATTGACAAAGGATTTGTGATGTAAAGTTGAGAGAAACATGAGGGTCTATGTTGAAAAGGTTATAAGAAGATGCATACATTGAACATGTCCTGCATACTGGCTAGCTATGCACATTCCAGGGAATGTTTTAATACCAATTCCTCTGTAATATTTTGTATATTAAAAATTTTATAAGACATTTTTAGTGTATGACATTTCATGTAGTATCCTGTGCTTTAAATAGAATGTGCTCACTGTGTATGAGAAAAAATATTGCTAGTTTAATACTGAGAAAATAAATACATTGAAAGCTTTTAAACCTTACTGCTATAACATAAATTATTTTTGTTCTATTATTTAATCTTTAGGAGAAAGTGATGATGAAGATGCTGTAAACAGTGAACCAGATCATGATGTTGTTCAAAGTGATGAAGAACAACAAGAAGCAGCATCTGATAGAGAAGAGATTGATACTCCTAGAAGTCCTTCTCCATCAGACGAAGAAGTGCAACATTCGGATGAGGATGTTCATCATTCAGATGAAGAAGCACAATGTTCAGATGAAGAAGTACATCGTTCGGATGAAGAAGTGCATCGTTCTGATGAGGAAGTGAATCGTTCTGATGAAGAAGTGCATCGGTCTGATGAAGAAGTGCATCAATCTGATGAAGAAGTGCATCATTCAGATGACGAAGTTCATCATTCAGATGAAGGTGGTGTACAATCAGAAGATGAAATGGAACAATCAGATCAAGAAAATCAAATTAGTGAAGCACATAATTTGGATGAAGCCAGATCATCACCTCCTACACCTGTTGCTTCTGATGAAGAGTAATTTTGATTTTCTTAATATCTTTAATTAATTTTGTATTTATGATATTCTATGGTTAATATATGCATTTTTTAATATAACATAAAAATGAAATTTCAGAATTTAATCTTTAGCATCTAAATTAAATTTCATGCTGATAATTACTAAGAATTTTTATATATGAAATTAATAATATGTAATATTATATTAATATTTATAAAGAAATCAATATAATATTTAAAAGTTAATAAAAATTAATAAATTTATGTTACTCTTACTTTTTATAATTTAAACAATTTTTATAAGATTTGGATATTATTTTTAGTGATTAGTCTATAAATTTCATCATTTATTTGTAATGGCATTTTTATATTTATTTTTGAAAATTTTTAAATTTAAATTCTTTATAAGATCAAAAATAAAATTTTTATAACATAAGGAAAGAATATGTAATCCTACTTTGGTACAATTGTATCCAAATTCCCTTTACGATGAATGGTATTTTTTAATACTCATCATGATATATGAGTTGAATAATCTCAGTATTACAAATTTCTCAAAATCACACTCAAATCATGTAAAAAATCTAAATTATACTGGTAAAAGTGAGAAGTGGAGAGTGACACTCAATGTTTGTTTGTATTTCTTTCAGTGCCATTGTTTCTGTATTCTATCATCCCAGTTTAGTGGCTTTTGTCATAAAAATTCCAGTTCAATTTTTGAGCTTTTTCTTAACACACCATTACCTTATATATCTTATATATGTACTGTATATCATTACGGCATTTTCATTGATTTTTATTGCATATGAAAGAAAATGCAGTCAATATACAATTCTTAATATAGGATTCTACAGAAACATATTTATTGCTTTACTGTTTTCTAACAAATTCTTTAATGATATTAAATATTTGGTAATAGGAGTTTGTAATGCTTTATATCAGGGGTGGCCAAAACGTGGCGCATGTGCCAAACATGGTGCATTGGACGATTACAAAGTGGCGCTTCAGTTAGTTCTGAGCAAAATTGCCAGATTTGGCTTTTTTGCGATTAAGAATATTATATAGAAAAATAAATTTTTTTAAGTCTGTCTTGGCAAGTTCATTTGTTGCACAATTCATTACAATCTATTTTGCAGATAAAATGAGTGTTCTCTACATAGTAAATTACAGTGTATGCATGTATTTTGAGTCTTGCGGTCTTTATTTTCAATCAGTTTACAGGCGTGTAAATGGCCAAAAACATTTATTGTGAGTAAAGTTATTCCAAGCTGATCTCGTTCTCAGTGCCAATAATTGTGGTGCAGAGTAATCTTTCACCAAACGAGACTCTGGCAGCTATAGCACTATCGTGAAGCAATCACCCTCTCGTACAGGAGATCATTATTGACTATTGTAAATTGGTACTTCAATAAACTGTCATAAATTAATTAATTCAACTGCGTGATTAAGTTATTCACTTTTCTCCCCTAAGTGAAGCAGATTTATTCTTATCTCTATTTATCAACTCCTAACATTGAACATAAGACTGTATAAAAAGTGTTCGAGTTATATGGCGCATATGAACTTGTCTGTCAAAAAATTGGCGTATGGTATGCAAAAGATTGGCCACCCCTGCTTTATATCATGCTTTATATCATGCCAATTGATAGATAAATAGACTTTTTTAATGTTTTAATGTATTTTAACAAAATTGGTTTTAGGCTGAATTACCATTTTTAATCATAAATTGGCATATTAGAGTCCAAATATAATATGGCAATAGTTATTTCATTTATAGAAGAATATAATTATATATTTTGATCATTTAATCACAAGCAAATTTAATGCAAAACAATATTCACAACTAATACAATTTTTAGTTTTTAAATCAGTAAGTTGTTTAAGTTTTAAGTAGTAAATAGATATGAACAGTATTTTTTTTTCTTTTTGTCTTAGAGGCATCCCCTGTAAATTATTCTTCAGTTGTTTCTACTCCATATTTTGTGTTGTGAATCTAAGGGAATTTTATCTGTAGATGGTGTGTTAAGTAAATTTCTGGTGAAAGTAAACATAATAAGTGAAATTTTGAAATATTTGTAATGGTAGAGGAAGCCAAACAAAGATAATGATAGGAATAAAAATGAATGAAACTAAACTTTGTTGGCAAATTAATTGTAATATTGTAATAAATGTAATATTTAAGTATCACTTTTTACCACTCAGTTTTTTGTTTTTCTCTGTTGTGGCTCCAAAATGTACTGTTTTTCATTAATTATTCTTCATGCCGTAGATTGCTGAACTTAGGTCAGTGGTAGACTGGTCCACTGGGAAGTTCCTGCTTTTCTGGTGGACTGTTTTCTTGGTTGCCATTCCTTATTTTAATATATATTACATTTTATTTCAGAAAAATAAATTCATAAATAAAATACAAGCACTGCCAATTGTATTAAATTTTAAAAAATCTTATATAATCTAATTCAGGCAGTAAGCTGCTGTGGTACAAACCATAAGAACAGATGTCTGGTTCATGGCAAATATAGTCTATTACTTGAAATTTTAAAATTAGTAGTCCTGATTTGGGTGTGGGCAGCTGTGAAACTCAAGGCAGCCCATGGAAACTGACATTTAGCCCATCATTGTGTGTATTTTTAACTTCTAAATTGAAAATAACTGAACAGTTTGGGCCATACTGCTGTAAGACCCATATTGGATTAATGCTTGGCACTGCCCAGATTAGATCTTAGTAAGTTACCTCTGTTCATAAACAGATGCTGGTTCTTTAACTGCATTGGCAATCTAGCTGGTTATATATGTATACATACATACATGCGCTCTACTGTGTATATATGTATATGTATATATATATACAGTAGAGCGTCGATTATCCGAAAGTCAATCATTGAAAGAATTCCAGTCGGCAAATTTAAATTTTTGCCAGTGCTGTGGCGCTGCAATCTTTGGCTATGTCTTCGGCTACTCAAATATTTTACGTTTTTGATACTAAATTAACTTCTGAAGTGTAATTTTTGATTGTTTTTATATTTTTCAATATATTTATTTTGTTTGTACAAAATAAATAAATAATTTTTAACGATACAATAGCCTTTGTTAGGCTTAACATCGACAAAAATTCAACGCAAAGTGACATGCAATGGAGAAAAATGTCAAGATGGGATAAATTAATATATTTTTTCGTACTTAATCGGTTATCTGAAACATTGATCTTCTGAACAACCCCATTCCCCAATTGATTCGGATAATCGACGCTCTACTGTATATATATATATACACTATATAAATAAACATAGAAATTTTTGACGATAAAGTCATACAAAGATATTAAAACGTAATTTGAAAAGAATTGTAACAAGCTTATTTATCTTTATATTTATTTTATTTATGTGTAATTATATATATAAAAGAATTATTATATTTAAATTTCAATCACATGTAGAATTAAAATTTTATATTTCTTCATTTCTACAGAAAATTTTACTTGGAATTTTTATATAATATGAAAATGTTTGTCTTTAATTGAAAATAATTATTTTACAGGAAAATTTTGGGGTCAGATGTTGAAAATGAAGCATCAGGTAATAAGATATAAAATAAATTATATAGATACAGAGTGAGTCAAAAGTCCCTTGAATCCTTTTCGTATCAAGAATACTTAAAATATATTAAATTTGTTAATGTAGTTACATAGGAAATAATGTGTAGAGCAGGGCTTCTTAAACTTTTTTTTATTTACAACCCCATTTATGATTGTGATTTTCTTTGTGACCCAAAAAATATAAAATAAAGATATACAAATTTGCAAAAACAATAATGGTGTACTACCACAGTTCACTCTTGTGTTACAATGGAACAGAGACAACTGAATACACTGAAAGCAACAATACTACACTAGTTCACACTACAGTGTTGCTAAATCGTTGTCTTGCTGCACCAGAAGTGACACAAAGTGCAGTTCTCGAAACCTATGACACAAAGTGTGCCATTTTCAAACTCTCACAAATTATTTCCAATATTTTGCATTAAAATTTCACGACCCCAAGATTTTGCTAAGCGACCCCAAATGAGGTCGCAACCCATAGTTTAAGAAGACCTGGTGTAGAGAATTGTATGGACCTTTTTGTTGACTTTGAAAAAAGATTACATAAAATAAAGTCACTTCTCAAAAATTTAAAGCTCAAATTACACAGTCCAAATGTATTTATTTGAATCCAGAGAATAGTTTTACACTAACTAAATGGTGCTCTTTATCATTGGAACTTTTAAGTTACCTCTGTTCATAAGTACAACATAAGTAACCTGGAAATGATTTTTATGTATAAACATAAGTCCAATAGTTATTTATTAAAGCCAAATGATTGCCAGATTAGATCAGGCTATATTACTGATATTAGTAATTAGTATGGTTATATCCAAATTAATAGTTTTGGATGCAACAATCAGACAGAATCTGGGTAACGTATTGGCAACGCATCCACATGGTAAGTGGAAATTGCGGGTTCAAGTCCTGCCCCAGACTGATTCTTTTCTTCCAGAATCTTATAAATTAATTAACAAATATTAATTATAATTGTTAAATTTAATAAGAGATTGTGCCTAATGCCTACCTCTAGGCCAAATTACTTAGTATTTAATTAATTATTAGTAGCAGTAATATAGCTTGATCTAGTCTGGTAATCACTTGATTTTTAGGTAACTACATAAACAAAGGTAATATATTTTTAGGACTTTTGGAATAAAAAGGGTTTAAGGAACTTTCAATTAACCCTGTGTATTTATTTTGTTCAAACTGATGATAATTAAATTATTTAATTATGAGTGTTATAAAAAAAATTAATTTTTGATATTTGCAGATGCTGAAGATAGTGATAGTGAAAGTGATAAGAGTGATAACGAATCAAAAGTAGGAGAATTAATAGCAGATATCTTTGGAGAGAGTGATGAAGATGAAGAATTTGAAGTATGTAAATAATTTTATATGAAATTAATTTATTTATTATAAGGCACATTTTTTTACTTAATAAAATTAAAAGCTTTTTAAGAAGCATATAATATATAATTGACCATCAGCATCTGTGGGGATTGGTTCCAGGACCTCTGAGGATATCAAAATCCACAGAGGTCCTGGAACCAATGTTCAGTTTTCTTATATAAAATAGCATAGTATTTGCAAGTAATCTACACACAGCTTCCTGTATACTTTAAATTATCTGAAGATTGCTTATAATATCTAATACTACTAATGTTAGTTCTGTATAAATAGTTATGATGTTGTATTGTGAAGGGAATAATAAGTCTGTACAAATATAACAATAAAAAAAGTCTGTGTATATTCAATAGACCTAGTTATATAGTACACATCAGCAACAATATAACATTTTCTTTCTTTCAACATTTACAGATTGCCTTTGTTTAATGACCTGAAAGAGAAAATACATACAATAAAACATGTGTGTATTTTAAATATTCCATGCTTTATTTTTTGAAATTTTCTGGAATGTTTTTTTTTCTGAATATTTTTGATCAAAAGTTGATTGAACTCATAATCAAAAATATTCAGAAAAACTATGATTGAAACTATGGATGTGAAATCTGCAGATATTGAGAGTAAATATAATTTAAACAAACAATTATATATTATCTAAAGTTCTTAATATTTCATGTTCATTATAACTGTAAGATAGTGGTTCTCAAACCATGTGCTGTGGCATCCAGGAAAACTTCCAAAAAATAGCCAGAGATTAGATTAGTCATTATTTAATTACTTGTATTAGTGATGCACTGACATCATTGGGCTGCAATTTGAAAAAAATTGTAGATTTATAAATTTCCACTGTTGTCTGTTCTTTTGTCTGTTTTTCCTTAATCTCAAGAATGGAATTAGATAGATGAAATGCAAGACTAGATATAGAAACCTTAGGTGCAGGAGTCCCCGATTGACTATATATTCAATTCAACGTGTTGTTTCAATTCCCCTGAAAGCAGTTAATAGATGATTGGCATGACTCTATTGTTAAAGGAAAAGTATGATGTACAGGGGCAAGATACTACTAATTTGAGGTGGAGAGCATTTGTTGCCCATATGTATTGAAAAATTGCAGCCCAGCATTGTGATGATCTCACAATAAATAATTGCTTGTTCGTGTAGTGCAGTTTTTTGTATGCCTGTCTAAATTGTTTATCTTGAGATTTGTCTCATCAGAACTTTCTTAATAAATCCTTTTACAAGCCTTTTTTTCAGAATTATGTTATGTTCTTTTTCTATTAATAGAAGGAAAAGTAGTTCTTTACAGAAATTTTTACTTCTGTTTTGTGGTTAAGGATTTAAGATTTGTAGTCAATGCATGTTAGGCATATGAAAATAATTGCACTGTATATATTTGTTATGATATAATTATATTATTTATTCTTTGCCTAAGGACTACTATTTTTATTTGTTTACATCATTTAATTATAATATCAACACACCTTTTTTTTTCTCTCTTTTTGCTGTTTAATTAAATTTTATTTCATTACAAAATAGAGGTTTTTATTTTGTTTTAAATATGTAAGATGATGTTTTTCTAAAACTTCCTTATAATAAATAAAATGTATTTATGATATAGAACTTTTTATAAAACTTATAATTCTCATTTATTTCTTTTTTTTTATGTAAGAAATTTTAAGGAATTGATATTGTTATCACAGAAAAAGCTATGGCTTAATGTCTTCCAGCAACTGGTTTCAATGTCAGTGATTGATATGATGATCAATAATAAAATATATTATTATGGATTAATATGATGACCAATCTATTATAAAATTTATTAGTCTTTTTAAATAAAAAAGGAAATATCTAATACCTGTTTGTTTCACATCAAAGTGCATATCCAGGTATTGATCTTTCAACTTTAAGCAGTGTGCATAAGAAGATTATATGAAAGCTCTCTAAATCATACAAAAATTTAGATCCCATATTGAGCATTTAACTTAAAAGTAAAAAAATCTGAATAACTCCAAAGGTCAAAATTGGCTCCTTAGATATTTTGGCTGGTGCCCATAACAATAAAAAATTTTATCACTCTTGATTAAGCCATTATTACATTGTATTAATATTAAATATAATATATTATTACTTTAATAAATTGAATATAATAAAAAATTTTGTCAACAGAGAAAATTTTCAATGCCATACCGTATTTTTCGCCGTATAAGACGCACTTTTTCTCTCCAAAATCGGGGGGAAAAAAGTGCCTGCGTCTTATACGGCAAATACAAAAGCCCACCATGGCCCTCCGCTGCCCCTCCACTTCTGCATACATACATAACCGCAGGAATACTCGGCCACTCCGTTCCCTTCCACCTCTTGGCGCCGTCTGATACCAGGAAGCTCCGCTCTGCCTCGCACTGGCTTTGTGCGGTCTTTGCCTCGCGCTGCGATTGGCTGGGCGAAGAGGCACGTGCCTTCGCTCTCTCCCGCGCTGGCTTTGTGCACTTTTTAGAGTCTCGTAAGCCAGCACGGGAGCGGGTGAAGGCACTCGTCTCTGCGCTCAGCTAATAGCAGTGATATATGTAGTATGGTATATCTGAATGAAATATATCATATTTCATACCACCCCATCAAGATGTCAAAGCAGAAGAGACTGGCATATAAAGTTGCTTTTAAGCTGGAAGTAATAAAATTTGCTAAGGAGCATGGAAACAGAGCAGGTGAGAGACACTTTGGGCCACCTCCAACTGAGAAAATGATAAGAGAGTGGAGGAAACAGGAGGATCAGCTCCAAAAGTTGGATAAAAGCAAGCACACTTTGCGTGGACCAACTGCAAAGTGGCCAGAGTTAGAGGTAGAAGTAAAGGAGTGGATCACACGTCACCGGCAAAATGGACTTTCTGTCTCAACAAAAATGATAATCTATGAGGCCAAACGCATTGCTGTGGAGAAAGGCATTCAGGATTTCACCGGATCACCATCGTGGTGCTATAGATTTATGAAGAGATCTGGCCTTTCTATGCGCACCAAAACCAGAATTGCACAAAAAATGCCAAAGGAATACGAATCAAAGATTCTGTCTTTTCATAAGTTTGTTATTGATGCGAGGAAGAAGAATAACTTTGAAATGAGCCAGATTGGGAACATGGATGAAGTCCCGCTAACATTTGATGTGCCGTCTAACAGAACCGTAGATAACAAAGGAGCCAAAAGCATAACCGTAAAAACCTCAGGGCATGAGAAAACCCACTACTCGGTTGTGCTGTCCTGCTGTGCAGATGGTACCAAACTGCCGCCAATGTTGATCTTTAAAAGAAAAACATTCCCAAAAGAAACAATTCCACGGGGAGTCATCGTGCACGTTCATGATAAAGGGTGGATGGACGAAAATGGCATGAGGCTGTGGATTGATAAAGTGTGGTCTAAACGTCCTGGCGGGCTTCTGAAGAAATCTTCCTTGTTGGTGCTTGACCAGTTCAGAGCGCACATTACAGAAACTACTAAAAAGAACTTTAAGGAAATTAAGACCCAAATAGCTGTGATTCCTGGTGGTCTTACCAGCCAGCTGCAACCTCTGGACGTTTCTATTAACAAACCGTTCAAAGTTCTGATGCGAGAGGAGTGGAACACCTGGATGGCAGCTGGGAACCATGATCTGACTCCTACTGGACGGATGAAGAGGCCCACTATCACACAAGTGTGTGAATGGGTTAAAAGGTCATGGGACTCCGTAAAGAAAGACATTGTTGTAAAATCATTCAAGAAGTGTGGCATTAGTAATGCCTTGGATGGAACAGAAGACGACGTCTTATTTGACACCAGTGAGAAAGAAAGTGATGACAATGACTGCGTGGATCTGTCCTTCCTCATTTCTGATAGCAGCAAAGAAGAGGAATTCTTGGGGTTAGAATAAAAACATGACAGCCTTATTTTTGTTACTTTCACTGTTTGCTGACTGTTTATGATAGTAAAGATAGCTCTTAGTATGTTACATGGTTGACATAAAATTTTTCTTAACTGCTGTTAACTTTATACAGTTGATATAAAATATTTTACTACAGAATTTGGTTCATAATCTTTTTTTTTCTGAATTTGCCTCCTTTAAAATTGGGTGCGTCTTATATGCCGTTGCGTCTTATACGGCGAAAAATACGGTATATTATATCAGATATTTCTCTCTCCATTGTTTATAAAGATTTGCAAATGATTGTGCTATTTTCTCTGCAGTTATTATTCATTTATAGCAACTCAGCAGGTTTCTGTTTAATTGATTCATCTTATATGATGATCACTTGCATTGTAATTTCTTGTATGGATGTGGATAAATTAAAGCATTTCAGTTCTACAGAGATAAAATTATTTAGTTTTACAGTGTGTCTAGGAAGTCACATCTCTGTTTTTGTTCTTGTGAAGCAGAGAGACACATGTTATGTCAAACATATGTTATACTTTATTTGTCTAGGACATCAGTATGAACTCCATTGTTATCAAAGCAGAGTCTGATACAGCACCAACTTCACTGAGATCTTCTGTAGACATAATCTGGTGTGAGAAGAGAAAATGCTGCATTCTTTGACTCTTCTGTTGTCTGGTAGTGCTGTTGACTGACTTTTTCCTTGACAAAGACATAGGTGCTTGGAAAAATTGTTTCTAAGCAGCTAGATTGCCATGGGTCTGAAGCATACCGTTGCCTCTTATGGCTACATGAGACCTTAAGATGCCAGACAACACATTGTTGGGCATTTTCAAGGAGAAAGTTTATCAACAGTGCTATCAGACAATGGAAGAGTTGAAAAATGCTGTGATAGAAGCATTTTCTTTTCTTACACTAGATTGTTTTCCCAAAACATCTTGACAAACTTGTCATCATATCACTCTGTCATGATCAATCATGGAGCTTATACTGATACTAATGACAAGTAAAGTAAAAAGTATGTTCTGACATAATATCTCATTATCTTCTTTAAAAATTAAAACAATGGGTTGAAGGAACTTCTTGAAAAGTAAAAATGAGGAAAATTGCTTGTTTTGAAAGTGATGATTTTGATATTAATTTGAAAATGTCATATATGAAAGAATAAGTATTAAATATTCAAAGAACTGAAGAATAAGATTTTATGTTGCATTTAAAAAGTATGAAATGAAGAATTTACAGCAAGTATTAATATACTTTTTACATTTAATAGGGATTTGGTGAAGAAGATCTTGCTGCAGCTAAGCAAAAGAAAGAAAAGAAGAAAGCAACAAAAGGTAAAAATATATTTAAAATTATAATAGGAATAGTTTTTTTAAAATAAATTCTAAATAAAATGAAATTTATATTTTTATTATTTTTATTGATGAGAGAATAAAGCAAAATTTTGAAGAAAATTGTTGATTAAATATTCATTTATTTAATCAGCAATTTTCTTCAAATTTTGCTTTATTCTAATTAAATTACATCATAACTGTTACAGTTTAGTTCAAAACACAAAGATGGTTTGTTCTGTCTTAAAAAAAAAAAGTTTTGATTATTTTTACATATTTAGAATAATTATTTGCAAGAAAAATATATGGATTTCTTTTTTTAATTTAATTAAAATAAGTTATTGCAATTTATAACCAAATATGAAGATTTATATAATTTAAATTATTAATGAAGAATAATTTAAAATTTGATTAATGTATTTAAGAAATTATTCAAAGTTGCTCCTTTAAAACAAGTCTGCTCTTTATATTTTGATAGTCAAAAACTTTGAGTAAGAGTATTTAGATTAATCAGATCTAAATATTAATTATGTAATTTACATAGTTTTTGAATAAATTTTTTTTACAGTATTATCTGATAGTGAGGGTGAAGGAAATGCAGTTGAAGAAGATACAGCAGAAAATGCATCTATTGAAGAAGCAAACAAAATCTTAGAACCCAAAGATAAAGTAAATAACATAGAGCAAGTACTACCTACAATTTCAGATGAAGAATCTGGTGATGAGGGTCCTAGAAGAATTCCGTATGTAAAATTGACCTTTTGTATTAATTTTCAATAATATAAGTGTATTACTTTGTTATAAATTATTTTTATTAAATTCTGTTTAACATTTAGTGACAACATCAATTCTATATTTAGGATTTCAACAAGTTTGCAATATTTACAATATTTTTAAACATTTCAAAATTTTAAATATTTCTAAATTTTATTTTGAGAGTCAAAATATTTGTTAAAAATTACTTATTTTTTGATCTTAAAAAATTATTTAACAAAAATCCATAATCGAATGTATATGATAGAATAAAAAAATAAGTGGGAATTACAATGGTAGTTGGCAACCAAACCAATTGATCCATATGCTGTAGTTTAAATCTTAATATGTAATAATAAGATTTAAACTGTTAAGCAAGCTTAGTGAGATATGAGAATACTACCTTGTGGCTGCTTCTGAAATTTGAAACATTGAAAATTCTGAAATGAAACATTGAAAATAGATTAACATTAAATTTTACTGTAGACTTAGGATATCTTGTAATGAAATTGAATATGTTAACACCAGTTTATGATAAATCACTATGTTGAAGATTTGAGTGTAAAAATAGTACAAGAGCAATCAACAGGTGATCTGGTCTACACTGTAATTCATATGGATCATTATACAATATTCTCCTAGACAGTCTTATAATGCAATGTATATGTGATATATTGTACTTTGAGCCTTTAAAGTCAACAGTATTAGGCTACAAATAAGATTTTTGTGCTCTTAAAGCTGCCTTATCCCCTGATCTAGTTCCTGCAAATTTTTCTCTCTTTTTCAAAAATTAAAGAAGCATTTGAAAGAGTATCATTTTATGTCATTATAAGAGATTGAGATTGCTATCCAACTGTTTAAAGATGAGTTTCATGATCACTTCTGGTCTTCTATGGATGTTTGAAGGAAGTGCAAATGGTCATTATTTTGAAAGAAATGTATTGAAATTTATTGTCTAATATCACAAAAAAAAACTATTGTTTTTTCCCATTTATTTTTTCCTCTATCTTGTTTATCCAAATTCTAATTTAATATACTCTGTATATTTTGTGTAGTTGCCAAATAAAAAAGTCATTGACTGACTACATATACAGGAATCAGAGTTGCCAATTTTCGGGGGTTGATTTCAACATCCCACAAACACCAATTTTCTTTTGAACACGATATTTGGAATATCGTGTTCAAAAGAAAATTGTTTTCTAAGACAGTGTGAGAAATTTCAAGATTTTCTATAAAGCATTTGCCAAAATACAAGCAATTGAAAAGTGCAAAAAATCTTCAAAAACGTTGTACAGTGGACCCTTGGTTAACGAACTTTTATTTTGCAAAAATGTTGTCTCGGATAACGAACAAAATTCAGATAACAAACTTAACGGCTTTTTGTGTCAAATTTGTAGGCTTGCCGACTTTTAGGGGGAATCAGTTAATCGTATGTCGTTGATGGTCTAGGGTCCATTCATATGTTGGTGGTGGCGGAGGAGACAAAAATGACAAGTATTTTACAGTGAAAATTGTTTATTAGAATGGGAAGATGCTCACATATTTGAGGTGGTTGGAAATGGCTTATTTACAGTATTTTCTCCCGGCATTGAGGTGTGGCGTATCGCTGGTCCTACGATAGTGCAAGCTGATCAGTTGTAGCCCCAGAGCGGACGAGGTGGGTTCGCTTGGTCACAGAAGCGATGGTAGGTGACAGAGCTGCTACGACTGGAGTGGTCCACGAGACACAACACAAATTTTACTGGCATGACTTCAGGCTTAATCCAGATGAAGACGACACAGATTCATCGCCATAGAATTTTTACGAAAACTGCATTTTGACCTTGTGATTCGAGGTTTTTATAGTATTTCTTCCTTGAATCTCATCTTTTGATTGATCCTGCATCCCATTCCTCGCTTCCCGATTGTTTTCTTCTTTGTCTCCAGGTGAAAACCGCAACCAGATCAGGTCATGAGAAAGGTTTGTTCCGAGACGTTTATTTGTCACCTGTTCATCGACTCTGATGAGAGATTGTTGATAAATATATAAGCCTTTCGCTCATAATTTAGCCTATTGTTTCTGCTATCTGTCATTTTAGAACTTTAATGATCGTACGTGATGTTTTTATACCCGTCAAATAATTCCCCTTTTCCGAAAATTTAACCTAGATCGACTGTTTATGACCGCTTCTGTCAGAGTTTCATCTTCCCCGCAGACATTCCACCTGATCCGTTACGTCATTTGTTTTCGTGTCGCGTTTGTTTTGACAACTACAGTACAGTTTTTTCCTTACTTCTTCCTGAACTTTGGTCCAACATAACAATAGTGTTTTCGCTTTTAACATGTGAATATTAAATTATAGTTGGTTGGTGCAAAAAGTTTGAATTGTTTTTTTAGAAAAGAATCAAAGAAAACCCATTTTACAAATAACATTACAAAAATACTGACGGCTAGAACAGATTAATTGTATTTGCATTAATTTCTATGGGGAAAAATTGCTTCGGTTAATGAACGGACTCGTGGAACGGATTATGTTCGTTAACTGGGGTTCCACTGTATTTTCTTCTCCTCCTCATCCTTTTTCCTTCATCTGGCACTGCAGATGCTTGTAGAGAAAAAACTACAGGGTCTAGAAAGCTCAAATTTTAAACTTAAGCCTTTCTCATTATCAGTGAGGTACTCACAAAACTTCTGGGTCGATAGGTCAAAGTTCAAGGGGTTTCCCCATAGAGGTTATTCAGTTTTCAGTTTCAAGCTTAAGTTTATGCTTATAAGGATAAAATTGCTTGGAAACAAATGAATTTTATTCAAATTGTTACTCAAAATTACATAACCTGAAATTTAGGTGAATTAAAACTTTTTACATTGATGTTTCTAAATGGCATATTGAAAACATCAGTCAGTGTGTTTGGTTGGCAATGCGTTCAGCTGTTGATCACAAGCACCAACAGATCTTGTCTTGACATAATAATATAATTATTAAACAAAAATAATTGATATCCAAACAAAAAATCTGAGATGTAAAAAAATTTTGCCAAATAAAATTTATGACAATGTAGATTATGGTGAAAATTTTTCNACTTACCAGGCTGTCAATGACTGTGTATATTAGTGGGATTTTATATACTGTCCACTTAAATAGTTCTGATAAATGATTTTGTAATTTATTTTATTTTACAGAGAAGATTTCATGTATGATTTTGAAATAATGCTTCAGAGGAAAAAAGAAAATCAACGGAGACGCAAAAGAAAGGATATTGATATTATCAATGACAGTGACGATCTTATTGCAGAAATTATTAATCAAATGAGAGTGTCTGCAGAGGTCTGTATTTGAATTTTTATATAATGTTAAGATTGTTACCATTGCTAGAGTCCTGATTACCAAGATAACATGGATCACAGATAAAATGAAGTATTTGAGTAACTTATTAAATAATCTGGATTTGAATGTATAATGTGTATATGAAGTACTCTATTTTTTAGTTAGACTTATTGAACATAATGACTTCTAAATGAAATTAGTTTTTTTGTTGTGTAATTTAAAATTTTAATTATTAAAACAAATGTAAATCTATGATTAGAATTAAAATTTCTTTTAATCTTTCTTAAACTTTATTTTGTCATGAGAAGTTATCAGTAAAATTTTTCTTAAAACTTCTAGAGTCTCTTTCTACTGTACTGTCCATTCATAAAAAGTTAAATACTAAATTATGCACTTTCATTGTTGACAAAGTACTCTTCCACAATTCATTTCAGATAATGCAAAATCTTTGTTAATTGGGTCTTGGTTAATCAGAATGCTACTGTTTTACTATAACAATATTGCCTGTTGGTTTGTAATGCTGGATTAGAATATGATATAATTGATGATTTGTATTATAGTATATAATAAATATTGTGTCCACCAGTTGCCAACTGGTCTTCATACCATTAACACTGGGAGTTTGGTTATAGGTTCATGCCTCACTCGGATGGGCTGGCCACGTGGAGTTTTCTGGGTTTTCTTCACATCTGTAATGCCTAAATAGGGGCCAGTTTTCCTTAAAAAGACCTCCCAGAAGGCATCCTCCTAGGCAGCTCACCCAAGTGTTGCATTGCCATAACTTAACAAACAACAACATATAATAAATATTTACCTTTTAATTATTAGAAAAAATAGGTAGCTAATTATCATCTAAAGACTTTTTTCTTATTTATTGTTTGAAAATTTGAATATGCATGCATTAGAAATACAGTGTATAAAATAATGTTAAAATTTTTATAGTTTACATGGTGAAAATGATGTTACTTTTACTGTAAACTGATATAAAACATAATTTAAATCAAAAATTGAATAAGTGCAAATTTAATTAATTGTATTTCAGGAGGATCGTCAGTTGAATAAGAATAAAGCTGCTGCAACTAAAAAATTGAAACTTCTTCCAATGGTCGTTTCTCAATTAAGAAAACATGATTTAAAAGAAGCCTTTTTAGATCAGGGAATTTTGAGTGTAATGGCAGAATGGTTGTCACCTCTCCCAGATCGTAGTTTATCTCATTTGCAAATTAGAGATAATATGCTACGGTTATTGGCTGAAGTAAGTGATTTTATTTTGTTACATAGTTACATATTGGTATTATTATTAATTAATGTAAAATTTTTGATGTTTATTCAATTTTAGTTTCCTCCCATTGATCAAGGATTACTAAAAAGTAGTAATATTGGTCGTGCAGTAATGTATCTTTATAAACATCCAAAAGAAACAAAAGAAAATAGAGAAAGAGCAGGAAAACTAATTAGTGAATGGGCAAGGCCAATTTTTAACTTAAATACAAATTTCCATTCCATGTCAAAAGAAGAAAGAGAGCAAAGAGATTTTGAACATATGCCAAAGAAGCGAAAACTTAGGTAAATTTTTTTGTAAATGATTTTATTAATCATAGAAATTTGATGAATACAATTCAATAACTTGATTGAATAAAATTCAGTAATGTATGGTTATTAACCAATCTTTTTTGATTAGATGATTTTTAAATTACAATAAATAATATGTTTAAAATAAATGTAAATTCTTATTTATATAAATACAAATACAGTAGAACCTCCATTATCCGGATTTTCGATTATCCGGATTGTTCAAAATAAACAAAAATTTTACGAATTTGCTGATTTGCACTTGGCGAATTACGATACTGTTTATGTACGTGATGGAGTGCATAACATTTTTTGTTTCAACAACGTCTCACCAGGCACAGTGGCCGTAAACTCTTAAATATATTTTACGTAGTAATAAAAATATAACTTGACATACGTATTTATAAATAATTTATATTCAAATTACATCATTTTTATGACCAAGGGCGGCATAAGGCATGGACGACGTGGGCCACAGCCTGTGCCTCGCGGTCCGAAGGGCCTCGCCTCGAAGGTTTATGCATTACTTAAAAGCCACGAACGCGACGAAAAAATTTTACTCGTCATGAAACAATAAATAGTTTGTCAAATTTTTATTCATAAAAATGCAGTTTCAACTGCTTTTTATTTTATAAAATCCATCTTCTTGCGCCACCAGAGGGCTTTTTAAACAATAGGTAGTCTGTTAGCGTTGGTCAGTAGTAGTCCAAATTCAATACGAACGTCTGTTTCTTGAAAATTTGATCACGATTTAAATACATTATTTACTTTTAATATTACTGATATGTCATCGAAAAGAAAACGTGTTGTATTATCATTAAAAGACAAATTANATTTTTTTGTTATCAAAATGTTAAAGGCAATTGAAATTTTTGACATTTAACGAATTCCTTAACTGATTCTATCGGCATTGTTACGCCGACATCGAAGGTTGTGGATTATTCAGAGTTGGAATAGTCAATACCGATAATCTCTTCAGTTTATTTTTCCAGATTTCGTTGTTAAGGAACGTCTTCAGACGATCGACGTATTGTCTGTAGTAGTGGATGTTTCCGTGTTTGGCACCTTCTATCCATAAAGGTTTGACCGCGCGAGAACAGTTTTTGAAAATTGCAAATACGCAATCGAAACTGATTGTTTCGTCTTTGGTGCCATAAATAATGAGAGTCGGCGATTTAATTTTTGACACTTTCTCTAATTTCTCACTCGGAAGACTGAAACGGTACTTTATATTCTTGAATATGGGTAATATCAGACGAGATACAGAAAGGAGAGGAGAATGTAGAACCACTCCGGCCACTTTATATCTAGAAGCCAGATCGATGGTAGGTATCGCTCCTATATCTTGACCATACAGAATAATTCGTTTGGGACCGATATTATGTCTAACTTGAAGAAAACCCCAGGCAGCTTCCGCATCCGCGAATAAATTGCATTCTGAAGGTTTTCCGGTGCTTTGTCCGTATCCGGAATAATCGTAAGTGAATACGTTATGACCCATTCTTCTTCCCAAAGACAGTAAATAATAACTGAGAAGTCCGAGATCCGAAGTGTTGTCGTGACTGTAAAGTATTGTTTCTTTTGAATCCGGATTGCAATTGATGAACATACAAGCAATTTTATTGCCTCGAGAAGTTCTGGTAAACGATACATCAAAAATTCGTTGTAATTCGTTTTCTGAGAAAAACCAACCGATGATATTGATATTATCAATGACAGTGACGATCTTATTGCAGAAATTATTAATCAAATGAGAGTGTCTGCAGAGGAGGATCGTCAGTTGAATAAGAATAAAGCTGCTGCAACTAAAAAATTGAAACTTCTTCCAATGGTCGTTTCTCAATTAAGAAAACATGATTTAAAAGAAGCCTTTTTAGATCAGGGAATTTTGAGTGTAATGGCAGAATGGTTGTCACCTCTCCCAGATCGTAGTTTATCTCATTTGCAAATTAGAGATAATATGCTACGGTTATTGGCTGAAGTAAGTGATTTTATTTTGTTACATAGTTACATATTGGTATTATTATTAATTAATGTAAAATTTTTGATGTTTATTCAATTTTAGTTTCCTCCCATTGATCAAGGATTACTAAAAAGTAGTAATATTGGTCGTGCAGTAATGTATCTTTATAAACATCCAAAAGAAACAAAAGAAAATAGAGAAAGAGCAGGAAAACTAATTAGTGAATGGGCAAGGCCAATTTTTAACTTAAATACAAATTTCCATTCCATGTCAAAAGAAGAAAGAGAGCAAAGAGATTTTGAACATATGCCAAAGAAGCGAAAACTTAGGTAAATTTTTTTGTAAATGATTTTATTAATCATAGAAATTTGATGAATACAATTCAATAACTTGATTGAATAAAATTCAGTAATGTATGGTTATTAACCAATCTTTTTTGATTAGATGATTTTTAAATTACAATAAATAATATGTTTAAAANTCAGGGAATTTTGAGTGTAATGGCAGAATGGTTGTCACCTCTCCCAGATCGTAGTTTATCTCATTTGCAAATTAGAGATAATATGCTACGGTTATTGGCTGAAGTAAGTGATTTTATTTTGTTACATAGTTACATATTGGTATTATTATTAATTAATGTAAAATTTTTGATGTTTATTCAATTTTAGTTTCCTCCCATTGATCAAGGATTACTAAAAAGTAGTAATATTGGTCGTGCAGTAATGTATCTTTATAAACATCCAAAAGAAACAAAAGAAAATAGAGAAAGAGCAGGAAAACTAATTAGTGAATGGGCAAGGCCAATTTTTAACTTAAATACAAATTTCCATTCCATGTCAAAAGAAGAAAGAGAGCAAAGAGATTTTGAACATATGCCAAAGAAGCGAAAACTTAGGTAAATTTTTTTGTAAATGATTTTATTAATCATAGAAATTTGATGAATACAATTCAATAACTTGATTGAATAAAATTCAGTAATGTATGGTTATTAACCAATCTTTTTTGATTAGATGATTTTTAAATTACAATAAATAATATGTTTAAAATAAATGTAAATTCTTATTTATATAAATACAAAAAATCATTATTAAGGAACTGAATACAACTGTGTAGTTTTATCATTTGATAGCTACTTAATTACCAAATTATAACAGAATATATTCTGATATAATTTGTTCAACATCTAATGGCATATATACTCCAAATTACTGAATAGATGATAACAGAACATATCCTATAATTTTACTAGATAATATAAGTGATATTTTCTTGATATATTGATAACTCCAAATAAAATAGTTATTGACCTTTTCAAAACTATCATATCTTGAAAAAGTCTTTAACATTTATTTGAGTGTTAAAAATAATTGTGATCACTATGAAAATACTGATATTTAAGTAATAAATTTTTCTATATATTAACTAAAAACACACAAAAAATTTATTTGTTTATTTATCACATATTTTTAACTATTATTATTATAGACTAACTCATTAAATTAATTTATGTAAATCTTCAGTTGTCACTTATTTTTTATTGGCCAGGAGTTGTGGCTTCTTATGTCACTCTCTCAGCACAGTAAAATCTTGCTAATCTGGCCATTTAGTAGGTCAATGCCTCTATTAATTTGGTAGCAGTACTAGTAACACTGCTACCAAATTGTAGACAAGTTTCTTGCTAGTTAAATGCCATTTCCCACTAAATTTGAACACACTAAATGTGGCATGATATAAAGCCTGTCCTTGAACAATTTTCTTGGTTTATCTTATTTTTAAAAATCCACTTATATGAATCTCACTTAAAATTGTTAGATTCAGCTTTATTATTTTAATTTAAAGTTTAACACCATAAATCTTTCATTTGTAATAGGCTTGAATCTGGGGAAGGTGGTGTAGTTAAACAGGACATTGAACGAGCTTTGTCTGCAGAAGATAAGTAAGTTCATAATTTTATATATATATATTAAAATTTAACATTTGAAATTTAAAATGTTTCTAATTTTTTCTGTAGAGCATTACGGCCAGGTGACAAAGGATGGATTGCCAGGGCTCGGGTTCCAATGCCATCTATGAAAGATTATGTAGTAAGACCCAAGTGGAATGTGGAAACTGATATTGGAAGGGTAAGTAGAATAGTATTGATCTTTTTTCAGTCTATATATACATAAATATAGAGAAGAATCTTAATTACCTGATGTAATATGGATTGATGCTATCTCAAATAACTGAAAACTTGGATAAAATGGACAGTTGTGGCCATTTTGGATTAAAAAATTTATATGGTGTCATTTTAAAGCCTCTTTGTATATAAGAACAATATTTTTTTTACATTACATACAGCTAATATGTACAGTATAATAGTTTTAACACTAGAATTGCTAACGGACCAAAAGAGTCCTGTAATGAAAAGACACCTATAATTATCTGATTAGCTATTAGTTACAATTCACACAAGTCAAAGTATTTTCTTTCTGCTGCAGTTTTTTCACTTACACTTTTTACATTTCAAATACTTGCAGTTTTCCCTTCCTTTCATCTCCACAATTTGTCATCATTGTTACTTATTTTCATCGAGCTGATTCTTTTTGCTTTGTTTTTCTCATGTTTGATCGGAGTCTTTGTATTCTGAAAGTTCTTCAACAAACTTCAAAAGATATTCCAGTCAGGAAATTTTTATTTCTGATGGCAAAACTCACTGTTTGGCCAGAGAGATTCTAATTCTAGTACTCTATCACCTGTAGCATCTTGAGCATGTAGAATTCCTATAAAAGTCTCAAGTTCATATATTGTTATTACCCAGTCTGTGTTTTGGAGCTGCTGATGAGCTTCCACTTCAGCAGATTTTTTTATGTTCAAAATATGATTTATTATTGACAATTACCATCAACTCAACACACTTTCTCCAATGGTTTGTGCAGCAAAGTACATTGGTCCTAGTACCTCTTTCCCAACAATTTTTCAGAGTACTAGTGGGAGACTCTATTGTAGTACCTGCATCTATTGATGACAGTCTGTCTAAATTTCTTGTAGCTCAAGAAAGAGAAGAATTAGACAGATTACCATAGCCTTTGTGTTCTTGATAAATCTTTAGAACAAAACAAGAAATACATGGCCTCAGTTGGATTCCTTATCAATTTATTGAAAATATTGTCAAGTGAAGCTATAAGAAAATATTACTACATTTTTACCTGCATCACACCTTTGCCTAGAAAGAGAATGATCAATGTTCTGTGGTTGCAGTGTCATCAGGAGTGATAAAACTATTAGACCTTTCTTTCTTGTCTGAAGAATGGTTTGGACAAAAATCCTAATGGTGTTGGAATTTCTTGAATCATTTTTTGACAATTTCTGAAGGGTTTCCACAACTTAGGAAGTTGAGGTCTGCATCCTTACTGACATCTTCATTTTATGTGCAGGAATGAAAATGAACAATTACAACTCTGCTAAGTCAGATAAGCAAGAATCTTGCAGGTTGCAGCATATTCCAGGATAATTTACAAGTATTTACAGATGAAACAGGTGAAATATTGGACAATTTTCTCCTATTAGTGTTTGTAGGAAGCAAACTGAATATCTCATTAAAAAAATATGCATTTTTGATGTAATATTACCTTTCTTATATAAGTTTATGAAAAGTCATAAAGCTACACTTCTATAATAAACTATAGAACATCAAAATTGAAAAAAGTTCTGTTGGTAGTTCTAGTATTAACTCAACAACAGCCACTTGCTCAATATGATTGAGGTTAAAGTTCTAAAGTATTTAGATATTTTGTTGTGAATGCACTAAGCTCTTATGAATTATAAATAATAAATAACGTATTCACTTATTTATTCACTTTAGGTCAGGGCTTCCTAAACTATGTGTTGCAAAGCAAAATGCTGGGATCAGGAAAGTTGAATTTGAAGAAAGATTAATTGGATTTTTTTTTCATTATCGTTAATTGAAACTAGTACACTTTCTGTACAACTCAGTTATAAAATCATAATACTGGCCAAGTTGCATAGTAAATTGTATTCAGATATTAAAAAAATCACCCAAGTGNTTGTCTGGGGAAAGTAATTCTTCTTCATGATAATGCGTGACTGCATACAACCAATCAGTCCAGACTTAGCTCCCAGTGATTATCATTTGTTTGGGTCCCTTAAAAAACACCTGGGAGGAACAAAATTCCAGACAGATGATGAACTGCAGCAAGTTGTCCTGTGCTGGCTATGACATCAGCCCACTTCTTTCTACGAGAAAGGTATCAGGAACCAACCTACCACTGGAAACAATGTCGCATAGTAAATTGTATTCAGATATTAAAAAATACACCCAAGTGCATCTTAATTGCAGTGATGCATTGTAATTTGGCATATGTTATTTAACAAAGGCAAATACGTAACTTGATGCTCCATGCAAGTGCACTGGAAATAAATTCACAGGCATGCACAGTTTCAAAAATATTTTATATCAAATTTCACTTTCAAAAAGTTATCTTCTAAATCTATTCAAAAACTATTTGCCACATAAAGCCCAAGAGGAATTTGCTGAGCTATCAAGTGACTCTAACTTAAGGATTTTTGTTGAAATTCAACTTTTGACTCAATTCTGGATTGGAGCTACAGTTGAATTTTCTACAATTTCTGAAATGGCATTAAATGTTCTTCTGCCATTTGGCACCACATACCTATGTGAAATGACTTTTTCAGTTGAACAATATTCTGATTTAATAAGAATTAAATGTTGAAGATGAATATTTGGCAGTGCCAAATATTGCACCTAGGTTTAAAATGTTATGCTGCAAAAGAAAAACAAGCACATCCATCTCATTAAAGCATAATTTACTTTCATTAATATTTATATACATAAACCAAATCCTAAAACTGGGTTTTTATATATGTACATTGTTTTGCTTGCAAATAAATAAATATTGCACCTAGATCGAACGTCAGCTCTGTCGTGAATATAATATTGAACTTCTTCTGCGTTAAGTATATCCGAATTCCATTAATATTTATATACATATATTTGTTTCTGTACAGAATGAAAAGCTGGCGGTTTTGGCGGTGGCTACGGCCCAAGAAGATGAAGAAGTGTGAAAGGGTTCTCATTCCGCAATTGATGGAGAGTAGTGTTTCTCAAACGGGATCCCGGTTGTTTTTTTAACCCGGGAAATACCCCGGGAAATCCCGCAAATTTCTTAAAAATTCACTTTTTTTTCTTATTTTGTGTTAAGGTTAAGAAATTTTGCAAATACAAAGCATAATTATCTCATTCACTGTCAGAATACATTTGTATTTATTAATTTTAAACCTACCTATTAGTTTTTTTT